GGGGGGGGGATTAATACAAACAACACAATGTTTATCTGCTAATGGTTAAAACAAACAAAAAAAAACAGTATTGACAAGTTATAGTCTATTTATCAATAGTAGCTAAATAATGTAAATTGTTGATTATGATTTAACAGTTTTCGGTACGGAGCTGATGTCTGCCATAAACAATCAGCCAGGTAGAGGTCACAAACACCTGGAACAGGTGGCTAGTTCACCTTTAGGCCAACTTGAGAGACAATAAACAGACCCCCCCCCCACACACACACACACACACACACTTACTCCTATCATTAAATTAGAACTAAATTACTAAATTACTTAACATCCATGCAGCTACATAAAAAGGGATGAAACTTCAATCAGGCCCATGTATAACAAGTTAAATTTAAACAATTATATGGTTGAAGTTTTCATGTAAAATCTAAAGATCTGAAAGGATTATTATTATTATTTTTTTTAAAGGTTCATAATTGCTGTCAAAGCAAAATCTGAAACAATTTATTTAAAAGTCTCAGTCAATCAAATCAAGGATTACATTTTTCACATAGCCTGCGCTGTCCAGTTTGTCTGAAAAACTGAACGCTTGTATCATTCCTGACTGCTGGTCTGAAATTCTTTTATTTCCACTTGAGAAACACTTCAAAACTAAGAAAGCTTCTTTCAAACCAAGACCATGTCATGTTCATCCAAGTTTGTATGTGCTCTTGTTTAAATTGCCACACTTTTTACTTCCCTAAACTAAGCAGCTCTTGATTGTGTCCAGATGGTAGAAAATACTACAGAGAAACTTCTAAGTTTGTACAATAATTCCAATTTTCACGTCTCTTTGTTGGCATCTTTGAGACGTTTATTAAAGTCCTGTTGGTAGTCTTTGTTGGTAGTTTTTTTTTTTTTTTTTTTGAATTAAATTACAAAGTATTACATGTCTGACTTATTATTGTAGAAGCTGGCTTTTGAGACATGGAATGTCACCTCACTGGTGGGGAAGGAGCCTGAGCTGGTGTGTGAGGTAGAGAGGTTCCGGCAAGAAATAGTCAGACTCACCTCTACGCATGGCTCTGGCTCTGGAACCAGTTTCCTTGAGATGGGTTGGACACTCTTCCACTCTGGAGTTGCCCCTGGTGAGAGGTGCCGAGCAGGAGTGGGCATACTTATTGCCCCCCATCTTGGTGCCTGTATGTTGGGGTTCACCACGGTGAATGAGAGAGTGGCCTCCTTCTGCCTACATGTGGGGGGACAGGTTCTGACTGTCGTTTGTGCTTATGCACCAAACGGCAGTTCAGATTATCCACCCTTTTTGGAGTCGTTGGAGGAGGTACTGGAAAGTGCACCTCTTGAGGACTCCCTTGTTCTACTGGGGGACTTCAATGCTCACGTGGGCAATGACAGTGAGACCTGGAGGGGTGTGGTTGGGAGGAACACCCCCTGATCTGAACCCGAGTGGTGTTCTGTTGTTGGACTTCTGTGCTTGTCATGGATTGTCCATAAAGAACACCATGTTCAAGCAATAAGGGTGTCCATATGTGCTCTTGGCACCAGGACACCCTAGGCC